TGATCTTTGGTGGTAGGCCTGATAAGCTTGTGAGTAGGCGTTCTCCCAGAAGCGGCTCTGAGCTATACAGGCAGTCAGTCTGGTTCTTCATACAAGTCTGCAGGTAACCCTTGTCCTTCTGGAGTGTTCCCAAGATCTTTTGTATATTTATTTGGTAAAGCAAAGTATTAGTTGCTCAATCTTCATGTTGTTTATTTTTGGAGAACTGTGGAATTAGTACTCTTTCCTCTGCCTACACATTGCAAGTCCTCTCAAAAGCAACCTTCTCTCCCGAGGTAAAATATTTGTTTAGTGTGAGATTTTTGGTCTCAGCTTTCTGAAAACAATGTTTTCAAAGCTACTTCAGCCATCTAAACTCAGGTGTGGTGACAACTTCTAAGCCTTGATGTGGTCACACTTTGGCTTGTGGCCATATGAAACCTGGTTATTCTGGGTTTCTCTGTCTCCGTCCTTTGAGGGAAGTAAAGCTAAACCTGATTTTTTACCATCCAAGGAGAAGTTTAGTAGCTGCACATCCCAGGCTTAGGGACTAGCCATGTTTCAAACTTCCTGACTAATAGTCTACACTGGCCAATGAAATATCAATGAAACCTAGACACCTCAACTTCCTGACCAGAAGAGGGGAAAGGAAGCTACAAGAGTGAGAAGGGAAGAAAAGGAAGGATGCAGAGGTCATGAGGAAGCAGAAAGTTGAGTCAGGTGTAGATTAGAAGAAAGGACATATGACAGGTGGAATTTTAGTTGGGGGGGTGGTAGAGGAGGAAGGGAGGGAGAAGGGAACTGGGATCGCCATGTAATTCAATCTTGTTTGTAATTCAAATATATAAAAAATAAAAAAAATAAAATTAAGAAAAACAAAACAAAACAAAACAACAACAACAACAAAAAAACCCCAACATGTAGACAGATGGGAAGCTCTCACAATCTAAAGGTTTACTGACCTTTAGTGTGAGACTGGGTTCCACCAGCACATAGCAAATGCTGGGAGCAAGGGGATGGAGATGGACGTGTCAAAACAGGGCCTGTAGTCTAGGGATGTCCCAAGCAGCCCTCAGAAATGTATTTGAGAACTGCCTGTGTTTCTACAGGCAGGTTTTTGAGAGACTCAGCTCTCACTGGTCCGTACTGGGGTCTGAGGTCGTGTTTGTGAGAGTTAAGACCCCAAACTTCAACACTGAGACCTGTGTGAATGCTGCGGGCGGGGTGGGGGTGGGGTTCCAGGAGGCACTGTGAAGCTTGGGTGTGAGCTACATTCCTGATGTACTGCAAGGACTAATCACAGCAGAGGCTGGAGGGAGGACTGCTGAGGAGGGCTTGAACACAGCTAAGGAGCTTTGTGGTACACACCAGAGACATCACATCAGTTACTCACTGAGAGAGGGGTTAGAAGGTCAGCACAAGACAGGATTTTCTTAATCTTTTCAGATTTAAGTTTGCATCGATGGCAAGTGGAGATAAAAAGGACAGCCCCCTGTCCTGTTACAGTTCTGCTGGCAGCTCTCCTACAGCATTCTTTTTTTTATTTTTATTTTTTTTGTTTTTTTTTTTTTTTGTTTTTTTGTTTTTGCTTTTCGAGACACGGTTTCTCTGTGTTGCTTTGGATCCTATCCTAGCACTCGCTCTGGAGGCCAGGCTGGCCTTGAACTCACAGAGATCTGCCTGCCTCTGCCTCCTGAGTGCTGGGATTAAAGGCGTGGTCCACCAATGCTCCGCTCCTACAGCATTCTTTAAAGTAGTGCATTTCCAGTGGAGATCTGGCTCACACACTGGGGAAACACATGGGGCAAGCTCACATACACAAATATGGTTTTATGGGGCCACAGTTTTCCTTTGGAATCAAGGTCACCTCCAGATAATTGTGAGTCCTTTTTTATATTCTCTTTATCTTGTTTGTTTGTTTGTTTGTTTGTTTGAGATAGGGTTTCTCTGTGTAGTGCTGGCTGTCCTGGAACGTGCTCTGTAGACCAAGTAGGCCCTGAGCTCAGAGATCTACCTGCCTCTGCCTCCCAAATTCTGTCATTAAAGGCATGCACCACCACCACCTGGCTTCTTTTTATCTTTTAAATGATGACTAGACCTGGATAGTGGGAGATACATAAATTGATTACCTTTATTTGGTTATGTTTACGATGATCAGTGCTATGTCAGAAAACATGGAGTAGCTGCAAAGAGCATCTTGCCACCTTAGAAGGACAGTGTAACTTTCCAATAACAAAACCTCCTTGCTTGAGTATGGGTGGATCACTGATTGAGGACTACCTTCAGAGTCTCTAAAGTCCCACTGAGGAGTGAGCCAGCACAGGCAGAATAAAGTGTCAGAAACAACTGAAAATGTTTACAGTAAGAGATGTCACCCTCTCCTGAGCAGTGACTATGCACGTACTATCCAGTATGTTTACCTCTTCACATATTTCAACACAGTCAGTCCTCATGAGTAATACCCGGGAAGATATTGGCCCTGGCTTTACATTAACAAGGAGAAAGCGCAAGGAGTTTGTTTGAAGTTGCTAGGCTAGTGAGCAGGGACTGCGTGTAGGACTGCTTCTTACTCAGCATGGTTTCTAACTCTTTGTAGCAGCATACGCTTGTCAAGTTGCTTTATAGCACCACAGTTGCAGCCCCTCTGTAGAAGGAAGAGTGTTAGACCCCCGGAAAAAACTCGGGTATCCGGGGTCCCAGGCCACGACCGAGGTCACCCCAATCACCAGGCAGATTCGAGAGCTTGATGCAAACTGCATGAGGCTTTATTGTAATTTAACGAGCTACCCCCATGTTAGTTCGGGTCTTTCACCCACCCGCCATGGCGGATGGCTAGCAAAGACAGCTCCTAGGGGCTGCATAGAGATCTTATAGGGCAGTGTAAGAAGTGTGTCTAGGGGTACGCACAGGCTCAGGATTGGTGTGCCTCCAGGCTTGGAGGGCTTGCCCTGTGTTGATTGGCCAACTGGTTGTTATGGCCCATAGGCCCTCCCAGCGTTGTTGCTATGCTCTGTGCGTCATTGCTATGCGCTTGTCCTTAAAGTACACCCAGGGTCGTAAAGCATAGCGTCACCGGCTAACTTCTGATTGGTTCCTTGTCACGAGGCAGGGATCTGACTTTCTAGTGACTAGGACAAGGTCAAACAAGCATGTGTTCACCTGTTATGGCTGCCGAAATGGGGAGCCAGTTCCTTCAAGAGTTATAGCAAGGACTCAGTTAAATATTATGATGTTTTTGAAACAATCTGAAGACTGCCATGTAGTAAACGATTTTAGAACAATGGTTCTCAACCTGTGTGTCCCAACACCTTTGGGATCTACATATAGATATTTATTTACATTCTGACTCGTAACAATAGCAAAACTACAGTTATGAAGTAGCCATGAAATAATTTTATGGGTGTGTGTGTGGGGGGGGTCACCGTAACATGAGGAACTGTAAGAAAGGGTCACAGCATTAGGAAGGTTGAGAACCACTGTTCTAGACCACAAGAGTAATTTACAGGGGTGTTTTCTCCAGAGTTAATTTTTCTTGCACATGGCTATTTATTTTGTGTCTTACCACCCTTTTTTCTAATATCCCTAGACTTGAGGACTGACGGTAAGTGATTGTTTTTACACTGGGAACATGTCAGGCATGGCAGACCCCCCAGAAGCTCCCAATCTCTTGTTCTGGAGGGATCTATCTGCCTTGCTGCTTCTGGTGGGGGATACTTGTACCCTTGACCTTGGCAGAGGAAATGAGAAGAAGTAGAAACTGTGATATTCTGGACTTTGGTCCAGACTGTTAGCCACACTAAATTAGCTCCTGGGCAACAATGACTTCTCAGATCTTCTTAAAAGGTGCCCAGGGCCTCACCTCAAGGCATCCGAGCATCTACTAGGTAGTGTATTCTCTCAGCTGACAAGAGTTAATTATTGCCTCATAGGACATTGTGACCACATTGGGAAGAGCAACCCCAGATGAAATGAGAATGCCTCAGCAACATGTGGAAGGCAGCACAGGGCAGAGTGATGGTGTCTACCAGGAAACACACACCCACATTGCTTCATAGCTCTTAGCTCCTTGGCAAAGGTTTTTGGACAGGGTACATTTTGGAAAAGTTTTGGAGTTTCCCTTTTCTGGAAGTGGATTGGGTACTGACTGCCTACCACACCCAGTGTAAAGGTGCTGCAAGATGGCAAATATCACTCTCTAGCCAGGAACTGGAGACCTGGATTTTGGGAAAGGAAGAGGAAGGATAGTACATGTGTCTACCTCATGAAAATTCAGCCCTGGTTGCTGTTTTTTCTAGTTTAGCACATATTATTTGCTGGTACATTCAGACAATCAACATAAATATTTCATTCATTCCTGATGGCCAGGTAGGCATGGATACCAGAGCTGAAAGAATGGAGGATGCCTGCTCCTAAGAAATGGCACATGTCACCTCTACTCCCCACCCTCAGGACAGTCTGAAAGGCACTTCCACTGAACGGGACCCTGAGATTTTGCCTACTCAGTCATTTGACATCTCTGTAGGTGTCACTGTATCAGCAGGTGTCAAGTATAAAAAGAAAGGTACCTATATCAGTAACTACTGTGTAGTTGTGTTGCAATTGCTAGAGGAAAACCTTAAAAGAATAAGGATTTGTTTTGGTTCATGGTTTCAGGAGGTTGAACTCAGAATTGCTTGCCCCTTAGTTTCAGAGCATGTGTTAGGGACTGCTTCACCTCATTTTGGGTAATAAACAGAGAAACCTACAGGAAAGGGGTCAGAGCAAGATTTAGATACAGCCCTAGAAACATACTTCCTCTCATTAGTTCCCAACTCTTGCCTTTTACCATCTTCTCTTGATGGGATTATATTATGAATCCATCAAGGTACTAAACCATCTTTTAGTCACAGCCCTTATAGTACAGTTGTCTATAGAAATGCCCTCACAGAGTGGTGTGCTTTACACATCTCCCAGATGTCTCTTAATCCAGTCATGTCACAGTGACCAGGGTCTTTCCTGACGTATAATGTTTCTCTTCGTAGGCTTCATAAACTCCATGTTTTTGGAGCTGGGTTCTTACTTAGATGTCTGAAGAGCCTGATAAGCATGCAGTGTTTAGTCTGAGGCATTAAGAGGTAAGTGTGTAAAGATATGTATGTTTTTATAAGGTATCTTATGGTTTTTATTGCTGTGAAGGGACACCATGACCATGGAAACTCTTATAAAGGAAAACATTTGAGACTGGCTTACATTTCATAGGTTCAGTCAATTATCATCATGGTGGGAAGCACGGTGCCACACCGGCAGACAAGGTGCTGGAGAAGGAGCTAAGAGTTGTACATTTGGATCTTCAGATAACAGGAAAAGAGAATGATACTGGGCCTTGCTCAAGTCTTTAGAACCTCAAAGCCCACCCCAGGGACACACCCCAAGGCCACACTGATGCTGACCGATGAAGTGGAATACACTTTAATTTATATTTCCCTGAACATGATGAATATGTTTTCATTTATTGATTGTTCATTTATGCTTCTTTATCTGACAGTATTTATTCAGTTCCATTATTAACTTACTGTTCAGGTTTCTCTCTGATGTTTTTGTAATTTTTTTCAGTGCTTTATATATTTTAGATGTTAATCCTGACTCCTTGGATATCAGGCAAATATTTTTTTTTCCCATCCTGCAGCTATTTCTTTACTTGGCTTATTGTTTCCTTTGTCCTAGTTGTTAATTCTTGCTAATATTCCTTGAGGGTTATTAGAATTCTACTCAAAGAACCCCTGCTCTCTCGATGCCCTGGGTTGCAGTTCCAGCATGTGCATGAATACACACACATACTGAAAATGAAAGAGGGAAAGAAAGATTCAGAAGTATTTCTAAGTTGAATATTCTGGGTCACAAAACTAGTGCAAATATTTTTGTCTTCTTTCACAGTGGACTCCAGAGCTCCTGGGGAGGCCTCCATCCCATTGGCCTAGCTGTGAGAGGCTGGTGGGAAAGGAGTGTGCCCATGCTGGGCCCTGGTTCCTGCCCACTGCCTGCCCCACAGTGATGAGGGAATATATGCTGTAGCTTCTTTTGACCTTGCATCAGCAGGGGACAAGTTGTGCTACTTTGAAGGATTCAGGAGAAAATGTGTGTAGAGCACTTTGCTGAGGGTGCAGGATGAGGTATGGCACGGTGAAAGCAGATGGGCTGCAGGTGGCATCCCTTACCTGGTTGCTGGCGAGTTATGTGATTTTAGGAACTTCTCACCCTCCCAAATCCCAGTTTCCTCCTTTGCCAAGTAGGTGACAATGTGGACCTCATTAAGTGACTCTTAGGACAGAGTGTGTGTCAGCAGTGCTCTTTAAAGGAAGTGAACAACCTGGGAAGTCCCACTTCCTCTAAGTCTGCAGGGCTTTACACAGGAAGACTATACCACAATCCACAGAACTTAAGGCCATGGGAAAGCCATGGGAAGGATGCCTGGGAACATGTAGTAGGTACCAGCAAAGGAAAGTAGGCTTCATCCTTCCTAGTGAGTTAGAAAGACGGCCTTTCTCATCTTACTTCCAGAGAGTTCTAAAGTTAGGGAATTTACTCAAAATGAATCCGGCATATCAGTTCAAATGTAACTCCACTGTTTATTTTCAGCCAAAGACAATGACAGACACTCCAGTGGCATGTGGAACATGGGGACTGCCACGATGCTGTAGATTCCAGGCCTGGGCTGCAGCAGAAAGCTGCAGGTGCCTGGCATAGTCCAGGGTAGCTGGGACTGAACCATCATGCCTGCCGTCTTGTGCATCCCTGGCAGGGCCTCTTGGGATAATTTTGGAGACATATACCCTGAGGTGCTTGTTTACTAGTAGAATCCTACATTGTAGTGAAAAGGATGGTTTGAGTTTGGGAATGAAAATATTTGGGGTCTTATAAATTGCTACTGCTTTATAGGACTCCAGTTCTTGGGAGATGGTGGAAAAAGTGGGGGAAATTGTCAGAAAAAGTCCTGCAGAGAGAGAAACCCTGGAAAGAGAACATTTTCCTATTATAACTTGCTGAAGAGGAGGGCATTGCTAGAGGATTCCATCTACCCATTCTCTCTCTCTCTCTCTCTCTCTCTCTCTCTCTCTCTCTCTCTCTCTCTTTCTCTATGGCTATCTGCCTTGTCAGCCAATCTGCTTGGACATGGTTGGGTTACTAGCAACACAAGAACCATTGGCTTGGCTCACTCATCTTCTTTTGTCCTTGTGAATTTTAGGCTTAACTGTGAATGTAACACAGTCATTGCTCACATCATTACACTAATCATGAACAAAAGTGGAAGCACACTGGGTATCAATACATTCCATGGGAGAAAATGACAAAAGTGTATATCCTTAATATATAAAGAGTTATTTCTCACTAACAAGAAAAAGACAAACACTCCAGTTGAGACAAGCTGGACAAAGGATGATATATGAAACGCATCTGTGAAGACATACACAGAAAAAAGGATGAGCACACTTGTGACTGTTATCAAACTTAGGGGTCATATCCTGTGCCCCAAGCCAGACTGGGCTAGAGTTTTCTCTTCAGGAGATCTAGGGGCAGAGATGGGTTTTTACCCATTACTGTTTTAGAGATCAATTTAAGATTATAAGAGACTATGGACTGGAGAGATGTCTCAGCTGTTAACAGCTACACTCACAAACAAAATTATAAGATTACAGAGACTAGTCATCCACATTTCTCCCTAAGGGGTACCAAGCTGGTGAAGACTTCATGCTTTCATGATTACACAAATCATGGCAGATCTCAATACCCTTGTTTCTCTCTCTATCCCAAATGGTCCCACAGCACCTGAACAGCTCAACAAATCCCCAAACCTCTCCTGTTACATTGTGGATTCCCCAAATAGCTCAACAGCTCTCCACTTTTTGCCCAGAGGAGCTTCCAGATTGACAAGGCTTCTCCTACAGGCATGACATCAGTGTTAGATTATATAGTTCTGTCTCTTGAAGCTAGGATCCCTCCTCGAGCTGACAGTCCCTACCCTGGTCTCAGCAGGTAGGAAGCAAACCTCGAGACAAGGAGATCTAACCATGTCTTCCTGAAGCCTCTGGCTGCAGCGATGGCAGAGCCGGGCTCCCTATCTCTGACATCCCTGACTTAGAGTTGGTTTCCAGTGCCTTCTCCAGCTTTCTGCTCCACTGCCATGGGCGATGTGCTCCTCTGTTTTACAGCAACACCCCAGTACTATTCAACAGAACTGGAAGACAAAGTCAGTCACCAAATGGCAAGCCACCCCAGATGGCTCAAAAGTACCCCCAAACTGATCAAGAGTCCAAAAGCAGACAGGAAGGCAAAGCTGATCAGGCAGAGAGTTCCCAAAGCTCAGATTTTCTCAAGAATCCTAAACAAAATCCAAATCCATTTTTCTGTCTCACCAAGTAGAGCTAAAGAGCAGCTGACGTGGCTGATGTGCAAAGAGGAAACTGCCTAAAATCTATGATCAGTGATGGAAGTACAATGCTGTGACATGGTGTGGGCTGTGACATGGTCAGTACTAATTAATTGTCAACTACATAAGATCTGGGATCACTCAACAGCTGGGCTCTAGGTATGCCAGTGAGGGATTATCCTGATTACATCAATGGGGGGGGGCTGCCACCAAGGGTGGGACTAGACATCAATTGAGGGGGGAATGGCCTGCCATGGTGGGTGGGTGGGACCAGTCCCTGAGTGGGGGATCCTGGACTGTGGTAAGTGGACAAAGTGAGCTGGTCTCTAGCATTCATTTGTTGCTCTTTGCTTCTTTATTGTGGATACAATGTGGCTAGTGGCTTCAAGCTCCCGCCCACTGTGACACCCCTCCCCTCCTGCCCAAGAAATGAACTTTAATCTGAACTGGGAACAGCAATAAACCCTTTCCTCCTTAAGTTGCTCTCATCTGAATATTTTGTCATAGCAACAGGAAAGAAGTTAAGACTTGGGCTTTGGGAAAGGGTTGCCTGATTCTCAATGGCTTCATGATCTCCAGTAAGCCAACCACTGTAAGCTTTTGTTTTTACTTGAAAATAGGGGTATCAGAGAAAAATATCATTGGACACCGAGAGACAGCAAATGTGGCTTCCCGGATAACATCTGCACACTGCCAGCATTGCTGTACAGCCACCTGTTCAGTAGAAGAGACATGTGTGGGAAGATATATTTTAAAATGCTGGCAGTGTTTCCTCCCTGGGATCCGATTTTATTATACTATTTTTATGTGAATATTATCTTTTTAATCAGCAAAGAAGAAAACGAATGGCTTTTTTGTCCTTTAGCAGCACGCCCTGTACAGAGATCCACACGTTGATTTTGCTCATGTAAACTGACTCGAGGTTGTGTTCCAAGAACCCATCATCAATTGCTTTCTTCCTTTTCTCTCTTCCTTGTTTGTCACTCAGAAGTGTTTCTCCATTCCTGACTCTATGACTCACTCAGGAAGACACTAGAAGCAATGTTTTGCAACACCTTTCCATGAAGTAGAAAGAACATGAGGGCTCGCTCCAGTAAGGGGTGTGTACTCACTCTCCTTGCTTCATCAATAATGAAGAGGTTGCATGGATTCCTAAGGCGCTACAGGGGTGGAATGAGTCAGAAAGAACTGGTCAGCCCTAGACATTCAGGTGCTATCAAAGACTAGCCGCAGGGCCAATGACAGCCACAACTAAACAAACTTGAAACTTCATTTGCTGGTTTGGATAGAAATTACAGCAGAAGGATTCTTGCTCCGTGACCTGAACTGTGTCATCTAGCTGGGGACAGAGACACTGGGACAATGTACAGAGCTATCTTTTTTTTTTTTTTATTGCTTTATGATGAAGGTTTGTTTTTAAAAAGGTATTTATCTTTATATGTATGGGTGTTTCATCTGCACGTGTAACTGTGCACCATGTGCTCGATACCCTTGGAGGCTAGAATAGGGTGTCTGATTTCCTGGGACAGTTGTGAGATGCCATATGGTTGCTGGGAATGGAGTCAGTGTCCTCTAGAAGAGTAACCAGTGCTCTTAACCATTGATCCAGCTCTCCAGCTGTGGTGCCCCATTTTTAACATCCCCGCCCCTGCACATGTTGTAAAAAAAAATTAAGATGTTGCCATATAATGACTCAGCTCTCTTTTAAAT